ACCTAAAAAATCTGATCATAGTAAAATTACTAATACTGCTGACATAGTTTTGATTTACTAGTTGAGTTACCACCCCAGTACGTACGAAACCTTTGTCTGTGTACATGACATTCTTGCCGGATAAACTATTATCTGTTTTTTCGAAGAAACTATATTGATCGGCATAAAAAAAGGTTTTTAATAAATGCCAATTCGGGTTTAGTTCGAGGTGAAGCTCCATTAAGAACCGTCTCTGGGATTCTAATGGTGGGAAATGAAGTCATAGTCGTGTAAATGAGTATATTGGGACTCCGCAGCAAAAGGGGATGTGCAAAAAATTAAAAGTTTTAATCAATCTAATTCAAGATATTGAATTTTTTTTTGTATTTTTTTTTAATTATATGGGCTGAAATCGACAAATTTTCAAAAGCAGTTGTATTAATAAAATTTTCTTTAAAATTATGATTTATTATCTTTGCTACCAATTACAGAATTTTATACCATTTTTATTATACAATATCATATCTATATATTATGAATTGGTTATCGTTATAGAATTCCCTGCTATTTTAATTATGATAGCCATATTGTTTCGAGATCCTAACACTAATAATAAAAACACATACCGATAAATATAGATCGGATCATAATATATAGTAATACGTAGCAACACATACTATACAAGCTTGATAATTAAAACCCGGCCGGGTCAAATTCAGAAAAATTTTGAAATGTTTATAAAAAAATTTTATAGTTTTTTATATAAAATTTTTTTGAAGATAAAATTAAAAGTCAGGTTCCTTATATCAAAATTTATGATAAATTTTTTTTTTGCTAAGCGAAAACAGATTTATATATTTATAAATTTTATATATTATAATAATTAAGTAACTTTTATATACCATAATTTCTAAATAAATTTTTTATATAAATTTTATATATTATAATTACTCGTAATTTTACCCTAACCCCAACTCTAATTATATCCTAACAAATTATTTATTTGACTACTAAACATGCTATTATATTTGCTAAATGTTAAATAACCGTTATTATTTATAATTTTATTTATGTATAAATTATAACTGTAAGTCTACAATGGGTTTATAGATCTATGTATAGTTTTTAAATAAAATATACATAAAATATTTACATAACTCTACATAAAAACAACTTCGTATTACTTCTAATTCTAAAATATAATTTAAATGTTTCAGGGAATTGTTTTTATAAGTACTATCGCTAACCCGTTTCCTATGTTTGCTTCAGTTCTCTTAAAGGATTAGTGTATTATTTCTGCGGAGAAACTTTATTAATTCCTCTCCCAAGGATTTTGGAGAGATTTTATATAGGGCTTTCATCAACGTGACTCTGCAACCGATTTTATCGTAAGATTCAAAGAACTTTCTTCAATATTATTTGCTAATCCTCTCATTGACGTTGTATTAAAGTCAACCTCTTTGTTGTCATGAGAGAGGAATAAATCTACCCATTCCTTGCTTACACGTAAGCGAGACAATAGGGTGGAATTATTAGGTGTTCGCTTGAAGTATTCATGAACTCTTTTGTTTGATATATAGTTGATGTAGCTGATGAATCCGCACGCAAAAAGAAAGTCTGTACCATATTTAAGTTTTTAAAATTAAGCGGTATAACTCAGGAGGTAAATAAACCTAAACGCACCAGCGATATAATGCTCTTTGCTCTTGAATATAGGCTAATGCTATCATGTTGAGAAGTTAAGAAAAATTTTAGTACATTATAACTATCTTTGGTCTAATTCAAAAACCCTCAACTAACATGAATGATACCTGGGTGATACTTTTTATGTAGGGGACCAACTTATACCTCACCTATGCGCGAGTTCCACAAGCGATTATTGTAACAGCGACTCATACTAAATCCTGCTCTTCTTGTTGAAAGAAGTAATAAGCCTTTCATCGTTGAAATGGCTTTTTGGTTCAGACCAAAATATTGAAATAATAATTCCATACCATAAGACAGTAGGGTGGAATTATTTAGGTTTTTAAAAATTAAACAGTATATTTCGGGAGTGTTGAGAAGTTAAGAAAAACTTTAGTATGTTATATAACTAATTAAAGTTTATAGATTTCAAATTACACCTGATCTTGCGATTTAATTGGTCGCAGAGTTTTTTAGGGTGTTTTTACTAGAGATTGAGAGCCAACCTAGTATCGTCCATAAAAAATGTAGCTGATGCCATAATTGATACATGAAATTTGAAGTTCTGATCAATTTTTTTTTTTCTTTAACTAAACACTAGCGTCTGTCTTAAATAGTGCACATATAAAAATGATTAAAAGTTGAAATGATGGTGAAATTTGAATAATTTAATATGAAATTTTAGAATTTTTTAGTGTATTATCCTAGCTTTTTTTTTTAATGATAGGTTAGAATTTAGGGTTAAAATTGCTTAGAAAAGAGTATAAATAGTTTCATGTTTTCAAAAGGAGACCCAAATTTCACTATTATCCGCGACAATAAATAATTCAATATTGACATTTTAAAAGAATACGATGTTTCTTACTTCGAGCACATTTAAATTGATTCATTCGAATTTCTTTATCGCATAATTTCATATCTTTATACAACATGCGGAACAATACAGTATAACGAAAATGATTAATAATCAAGAAGTCATAATCTCGTGACGATCAGTAACGTCAGCTACATTTTTTATGGGCGATACTAGGTTGGCTGGATGTTAAGTGGCGCGTCTGGTGCAGTTCGGTCCTGGTCCCTAAAAAGTCTGGGTCCGAAATAGTTATCTATTTCAACTCCCTGTCAAAAAAATTAAAAGCCGGTTCTACTCTAATGGTTTACTGTTTTCATAAATCCTGGGACACCCTAAAATTTGTCGAAGTCTATCGGCCGAATTTGATAAGTTATTGATTTCGTTATGATTAGTGCGTGATCAGTATATAAAAAAATTATTGTTATAGCACATTGTTCGATCAATATTATATTACATTCGCAACGTCAATTATTTCAACACCATTAAAAATTTTTTTTTTTTGCCATATCCAATATGTATGATACAAAAATTTATGCCAAAAACTGTTCTTGCCAATTAACTAAAAAAGTTTTGAACATAAAACATATTGACTTCAAGTTTGTTTTGTGAATCTTTTTATTATATAATTATCTTTGGTAACTTATATAGTATAGCAAATTTGTTATTAATAAATACAATAAAGAAAATTCGACTTTTAATACGTAACACTACACTCCATATTACACGAGTAGGCACTAATAAAAAAAAAGTTTAAATACGATCAGGGGTTGTAAAAAAATGCAACACAAGTTGAAATCAGAGGTCAAGATTTTATTAATATTTGTCGACGATGTCTTAATAATTATAATAAAGTTCAAAGTATGTATAACGTTTATTTAAAGTGATGGTAATTCATCAACACAGTCATACCTCTGAAATTGTTTGAGAACTCGACCCACAGAAGACCTGTTAACACCCAAACGTTTAGCAATTACTCTAACTTAAGCCTTCTAAGTTCCTTCAACTATTTTCCAAGAATATGTTTGAAAAATCTTAGTAACAAATACTTATGTATTATGCATTTATATAGCACCGAGATAAATAGCTTATCGAATTCAGCCGAATAGACTTCGGCAAATTTTTTAGGGTGTCCCAGAATTTATGAAAACAGCTGTAAATAACTTACTGTAATCAATTTTTGTCACTATTAATTGAGGCACATCCCTAAAGTTTAATCACTAATAACATATACTTACAACTAATAATAATCCTATATGATGCCAGGCAATGGCCTGTTAGGGAAATGACCTCCGGAAAAATGAACAATAATGGAGTTATTACAGTAATCAATTAAACTTGTCAGTGAAACGTATTGTCGGTGAAACGTACGTGCTGTCAGTGAAACGTACTGTCGGTGAAACATATTAATACTGTATTGTCGGCAAAAAACATCGGTGTAATTATTGTCTGTGAATAAATTGTCGGTAAAATAAACATGTCGGTGAATTACAGCTGTTTTCATAAATTCTGGGTCCCTAAAAATTTTCTCGTTTCCCGAAATCCCTTCGGTTTCGTCCTAAAGGTCACCGGAATCACGTCATTGTCTTCGGAACTTCATTCCGGAGATAGCGATGTATTTTCCGAAGAGTTAGATGATCCATAGGACGAAACCGAAGATATTTCGGGAAATGAGAAAATTTTTAGGTGTCCAGAATTTATGAAAACAGCTGTAAGAATGTTGGTGAACTAAATGTCGGTAAAATAAGCATGTCGGTATGTTGGTGAATCAAATGTCGAGGAAATAAGGTCTGTGAATTGATTTTCGATGAACTGAGGCGTTGATGAAATGAGCACCACCGGTTTGGCTTTATAAAATACAGTCAGACTTTCTAAATACATTATTATGATGGGACTACGTATATGTAAAAAATTAGTTAAACGTATATTTAGAGAGATATTGCATATGGGGAGGTAAAAATCTATAAGTTCTATATTATTAGTTGGGCCTAAATGAAAATGTGTATTGTTAGAGGCAAAAGGGAAGGGACACGGACTACCCAATCACCACCAAATCAACACAACCAACCCACAATATACCCAATGGGTAGAGGCGATTACGATTTGGCAAGGTAAGGCTAAATCGGATATATTGTGGGACAAAAACGACCCAATTACTATTTTTCAAGAACACTCAATTGTTCTTTATTAGAGGGAGAAAAGAGCCCATTTTTGTAACAATTTTTACATGCGGGGGGGAGACAAAATCGAATAGTTTTTCTAAATCTAAGCCCGCAACCAAAGCACGCCATTTTTGGCTTTGCTTGGGCTTTTTCACGGGCTTACTCTTGCCGCCATATCTCCTTTTACCGCGGTCTTGAAGGCTTCGTGGGAACGATTTCTCCACGATTCTTCACGATTTCGTGGGAGCGGGTTTTTGTCACGTTTATGGGTCTCGTGACGTCGAATTTAGCGCAGCGGGTTTTGGCGGTTTTGCCACTAGCAGTATTTAAAGGAAGGCTTCATAGGTGAGGTTGCATTTAGGAGGTCTGACTCTATAAATTTATATCTACTGTATTTGATTGTTATTTATATATATACAATTATAAAACTTTGTAAAATTTGTCTGCTGATAAATAAAATTTTAATGTTAAGTTTGAAAAATTGTAAGCCGTAAGATCGATCATAAGGATGGGCCGGTCGTGACTCGAATAATTCGGGTTCGAATCATAAATTTTTTAACTCGCGAGTACTAATGAGTTAATTATTAATGTATAATGAAGTTAATACTTTGCATTAATAAATTTGTAAGCTGCATAAATAATGTAATTTTACGTAATTACGTAATTCTTAAAAACTATGTACGTAAAGGTATAACTTCCACTTATGGATGATAAGAAAATGGCACTCATATATAGGGATGTATTACATAAATTACTTTGTTACGTTTCATGTAAATTACATTGTAACTTACGAAATTGTAATGTAACTTTACATTGAATAGTGCATTGCCACATGATAATTTTACCGACATTACAAAAGTTTAGCCAGCGCTAATAGATATCCATTATTATGTTCGGAATTGTAATTTTTATTTATTTTTAATAAAAATTTTTGCAAAAATTATTCACACGATAAAAATTACATGTAATTTTGATTTCAGAAGATTACACAAAATTTCGTAAAATAACGTAAAATTACAGTAATTTTCCATCCCTACTCATATAATGATGGACTTCAAATTTAAATTAACCACCTCGCCCGTAAGCACAGAATATTTAAAGATAGCTCTAGTTGATCTAGTTTATTGCATTCGCAACTTGTAATTGATATGTATATTTGCTTTATAACACATAAATTGCATTATACTTGTTTTTATAACATACAAAATTGAATTATACTTGCTTCATGTAACTCGCTATTTGAAGTAATTTGTTTTTGTAACTTGCAATTTATAAAATTTATCAATAAACCAATTGCCATGACTCGAATTATTCGAACAAAACTCAACTAAGTAATTCAATCGAATGATTTGAGCACTCTTACGAGCTTATACGAGTCCAGTCACTAGACCGGACTATAACATAGGCCTACTAGTACTACAGTAGAACTGATGAATCCATCCTATTTTTAATTTTATTCCCTATATAATATACCCGGGTTTTTTAATAATTGTTTGATATAATTCTTGTATTACACCAAAATCTTTACTGCATTAGCCTAGTTTATTTTTTTGCAATCATTTGTGAATGTTATATAGAATAAATAAAATTGTATTTATTTTATTATTCCTTAATTTAAACCTTAATAATCATAACAATATGCACGTGCTAATAATTTATGTTTAAGACATATAATATCAGGTGATTCATAGCTAATATGTTTAGTAAATAATTTAAATAATTAAATAAGTATGAATAAAATAACCATCTATAACTCAAATAATTCCTGTTTATCATGTATATTAGTTTTGATTCAATTAAATTAAAATTATATATTACTTTGAATTATTATTCATCAATATCTTTGGTTCCATAAATACGAAGATGATTAATATAAGCATCAAGTTCAAGTAGTTCTTTTTCTGATATCTTGGTCAACTTATCATATTCTTCGTCAGAAATTTGCAATCTTGTTTTTAAAAAGGGTTTAAGAGAAACATATCCAGCAACCATATTACTGACAAGCTGTTAATTTTATAAAATATTAATAATTTTTTAAGATTAATTTTTTAAGATTAATTTTTTAAGATTAATTTTTTAAAAATGATTCAGTTTGTACAATACATTACCGCTTTACTAAGTTCGATATTGTTGTGATTTACACCAAAATAGCATTTTTTTATCTCTTTTTTAATATTTTTCACTTGCCCTAATTTTAGAGTGTATATAATTATTAATGAATTATTATAATAATTTTATCTATAAAATCATATGGATTATAATAAGTAATTAGATGAAGAATCAAAAACCTTGGCTTTGTAAATATTTCTCTAATTTTAGATATATATCCCAATCGCCGCCTCGTTCTTCAAACATTTCAACATCTTCATAATAAATGAATATAACATTATGTAAATGAAAAAATTAAGTCATCGAATATTAAAATACATACGACCATTCCATAAACGTTGAGTAGCTGGTCCTCCATCAATCATTTTAGAAGGTTCATATAACTTTTTTTAAAAAAACAAAATGATTAACAACACACTTATTTAAAATCTTAACATCATATTAATTTTCAATAAATATACTTCTAAGAATCCGCCTGGTTTTAAAACTCTAACAATCTCATTTATCACATATGTCCACTTCTCTTTAGCATATCCAACAACCAAAAATCGTTGAAATACATAATCAAAAGTGTTATCGTCAAATGGTAATCCTTCTTGTGCATTTGCTTTAACGAATTCAAAATTTTTAGGTTTTATCTGAGTTGGTTGGTGTGAAGATATATCTAACCCAATAACCTCTACTAATGGGTATCTAGAAAACATTACAGATAAAGATTAATATTTCTAAATAAAATTTAAAAAAAATCAAAAAAGCTGTATCGTTTTTCATTTTTCTTATTGAGAAATCGATTAATCAATCAGATAATAAATTTTACTAAGTAAAATCAGAAAAAGCTGAAATGCCTATCTCAACACGAATAAAATAATGCCGGGATAGTAATTTTATTTATAATATTTAACCTTAACCAACTTTTTGTTTTAGATACTCTTCCAGATACAGAAATATGAAAGTCGAAAAGAATAATACTCACGTGGTTGCAATTTCAAATGACCATGAACCTGCGCCACACCTAAAAAACGATATTGTATGTTAATATTTTTTAGACAAAATAATTTTTTTTTTTTTTTTTTAGTTTGTAAATTATATGTGATAATTGTTCCGAAATATATATATATGGGTGTCGTCAGCGAAAACCGAGTTTTCCGAAATTAATTTTACAGATCAAACCCCGAAAAAAATGTGATTTAACTCACCATATAACGATAATATATGTTGTGCTTAATTTAAATTTATCAGAAATCGGATCAGAAAGCGGAGCCAGCAAAAATCGAAATTGCAGGTTTTTCGCTTGACGACACCCATATAATTTAAAGTCTTTTTTGAAGTGTTCAGTTGTAATTATCAATATGTTGGGATAATTATTGTGTGAATTTATAATAAAATAATAATAAACTTTTAAAATTATTTTAATATAAATATATGAATTGTAAAAAATAAGAGTTTATAGAGTCGGGGAGCTTTTGTTACGTTCTCCCATCAAGTATAATTACTTAAATATTTACATACATACCCGATATCAAGGATCTTGACATTCGGTTTAAGCAAAATATGTTCGATAGGAGCAGAGAAATTGCTTTGCCAGACATATCTCATTATAAAATGTTGTAAATGTAATCTATCTGATTCATCATCATCGTTTGGTAATTGGTAAACAGCATTTTCTATGTTATGAAATCTTCTACCATCAACATACCGAAATTCTGATTGTGAGTTTTGTGAGTTTCGTGAATTTCGTGAGTTTTGTGAATTTTGTGAGTCCGTAGAATTAGCTCTTCCTCTTGATTTAGAAAATGCACATCCCATACCAATATTGCTTTAAAGAAAGTTGGATTTTTTTTTATTTTCGACAAATAAAGTATTAAAGAATGTAAAAATAGTAATTGCTAATATGGTAATATTTAAAAATATTTTCGTTGCATATTGAAAAAAAAAAGAATTTAAATATTATTTGCTATATCAGATATGTATGTATGTACGTACGTACGTACATACAGTACGTTATGTATGATATTTATACGTATGCATAAAAATATTTGATATTTTCTTTTGACATTATTAATTAGAATTTAGACAAAGAATAACCTTTTATTGCACTTGGTTTTTCCGGTCATTGTAACTACGTTTTCATCTAATAAATTTTGTGATATTTAGAATGCTTTTCAAATTACTGTGATCATAAGATGATCAAATATCACCATAAAATTTCAATCCTAGTACAATATCCGTTTGTATATTAGATCTTGTAGCTTATTAACCAACCAACAATAAAAATTTTCAGTTTCTTCATTAAAATTTCTATAAACTTAGATAATGCTTGGGTTATTTTCATTAATCGAGATTGTTTTCAAATTCTACAGACTTGTATAATTCAAAAATGGGGTTAAATATTGAATTTACAAGACAATTATTAAGAAATCTTCAATCGAAACTAATATAATGTTCTAGCCAATCGCAGATTTCTATGGAGTGTGTAATGTATGAAATTTGCTGATCACAGTAATTTGAATTATAACATCAACAAACTTCGAAGGCCTATACCATATATTTACGTAGCATTACATAAATGGCAATAATATTATGTAATTGATATAAGCGTAAATTCACTTGTATATAAATTTATGTAAGCGTAAATTCATTTAACAAATTATGCTTCTTTTTGTGTAGTATTACTGAAGGTCCGTAGAACCCATAAAATATTTGTAAGATATGGGAGGTTTGCTAACAAAATAGGGTTCCGAGGTCCCTCCGATCAAAAATGAGATTTCAATTTTATATTAATCTTCTATACAAGAACTTTATATAGTTTAAATTTTATACTATATTGTCTTAGTATAAAAGCGAATTATTTGATTCCGGATGAATATAAATCTAAAAATAGAATTATAAGTGATCTTCATGAAATTTATTGGCGCAGCTTAAAATTTGTGTAACATTGTCTTGAAGGGTCATTCCAAAAATCTAATTTTAGTACCAAATTTTTAATTATTGTTTACTCAAAATCAGGTGATTAGTCGGGTCATTTTGTTAGCAAAACTCCCATATTATGTTTTGTCACATAATATTATGTAGATTCATGTAGTAATCTTATAAAAATTCGTGATGAAAGTATAAGTTGCTAACTTAAATATGAGTTACATGTAATTTGTAGATGTAAATTTTATTGTAACTTACGTAAATTATTTGTAAGTTATTAGGCTAAAAATAACTCTCAGAGATGAAATTATGAAATTTGGCTTAAATTATACTTTAGACTATAGCTTAATAACGCTATTTTGGGTCAAGTTGATGTTAATGCTGGTAGCATTGTCACATAATTCGGCCTATTGTAATTTACGAAAGGGCCATGTAAGTTACAGCGTAACTTACCGTAACTTACCATGTAAAGTATGTTGCCAGGTAAGTTTTAACAACCCTAATCAGAGCTAATAATTGTGTATTTACAATAGCTGATGAGACAGCGTATAAAAAGGTACGTATTATACGATTTGATTTAATTAGTTTTGCTTATTTTTGTTTAAAAAAGCCGAGGCTTAAACCAGTTTAATTTAACATCTCAAACTAATTAACCAAGCTATTCCTACTTATTACCCATCCCTATCTGATAATACTATCGGTTGATCTGTGAACTTGTCTAAAATAGATGTAGTTTGACATTTTTAATTTTAAATAACTTTTTATACATCGAAAGTTTTTGACCAAAATGTTCGTCTCGCTGTGACGATTTTAACGAGCTTGAAATCATTAAAATCATCGTAGCGAGACGAACATTTTGGTAATAAAGTCATCAAAAAACTTATCGATGTATAAAAAGTTATTTAAAATTAAAAAAATATCAAACTACATCTATTTTAGACAAGTTCACAAATCAACCGATATGAGCAAATCCACGTACTGTACGTACAGTATGTACAGTACATGCCCATTTCACAAAAAAAAAATTATTTACTGTATATCGTATATAAAAAAAAAAATAGAATTTATAAATCACTTATTTCAAAACAAATACAAAAATCTGAACATTAATTCTGAATCACCTTAATAAAATTTTTATTAGACATATGTAGTGTTGTAAGTCGATAAGCAGCTAGTCAACTAAGTCGACTTAGCTGACCCCTGATCGACTAAGTCGGCTATCTGA